CCCTTCAATAACCCCCACAGGGAAAGGAGTAAAAGTATGGTATACTAGACCTGGAAGGGACCCCCTTCCTGCTACAGTCCTATCACAGGACCACTCTCTTGCATGCATCCTACCTGATGGATGAGATTTTCCTATGTTGGTGTCATTAAAACATGTGTCTTATTGCCCCTAAAGTCTTTGTGGATTGGGAACTTCCTCTGGCTTGAGGATTATTATAATTTTTGTTATTAGGAACCTCCTCTGGCTTGAGGATTATTATAATTTTTGTTACCTGTATCAAAAGCTTGCTGTGTCTTAATTTTTGTTATTATCTCTAAGTTGTTGTTATTCTCTGTTGCTGTTGTAGAATCTGGTTACAGTGCTCCAGCTTTCTTGCACAGGGACCATTGCAAAGATTGAAAGCATGTAGAGTGTAAGGTGAGAATTCTGGAGGTGGGGAGTATGGGGAAGTTGGGGTTCCTATGGGAGGATCCTCACTGAACTTAAACAACCTGATGATGTAACTAGCCTGTTGCTAGGCTACCATTTGCACATCTTTTGGCAATAAGCTATTACTGCACTATATAGAGAGCTCAGCCCAGTGCTCTGGGCTGAGGCAGAGACGCTAGTGCTTGACCTACAGCTGGGAGAACAAGCCGGGTAATAAACCCTTTCAGCCTAAAGATGGGTGAAACGTTTTCCTGTCAATTTATTTGGTCATATTGAATGCGTGGGGCTGAAACCATTGGCAAGACAATGGGCTTACCTCACTTATCAATGGAACACTCATTGTCTGTATTAAATTACCATTTCTCAATTTTTTCAGAAAAGCTTCACTATTAAATAGAGAACAGTGATATGGGAGAAAGGGGAAGGACTTTTTTAAATGATTTTTTTTATCTGTTATACTGTAGGAGGAATTATGAGCATGTTTTCCCACTGATAATACACCCAGCTGGGCTTGGTGGGGACAGTATATCCCTGCTCCACACAGTATCGGTTGGAAGGATTTAACTGTGGCTTGAGAGTCTACTTCCTTGTTCACTCTCACAGCTGAGTATTGCCAATTGGCACTAGGTCCTTTCCACATTGGCCTCTCCATGAAGTTCTTTGGGCTTGCTCATAGTATGATGCCTAGATCCTAAGAATAATGTCCCAAGGAATAGGAAGTGCAAGCTGGCCATCTCTTCAGGCCTGGACCCAGATATTACACAGACTCACATCTGCTATATTCTGTTGGTTAAAGCAGTCACAGAGCCCGCCCAGATCCAAAGGAAGGATATTGGGAAAATGAAAAATACAAGTCTCTATAACTCATGGCTAGAGAAGTTTGTGAGGTAAAGAAATAAATGCAAGTTCTGGCAATAGGAAGTTGGGTGTGTGTGAGCTGAAGAGATGACATTGCATGGATATGGCCTGCACACCAACAGGGCTATACTCCTACCTGATTTACCCTAGGCTGTGAGCTCCCTGAGTTATAGGAATCTTTGACTATGGAAACAAATAAGTGTTCAATAAGTGATTACAGAGGGAACAAATGAATGACTCTATGAAAATTAGCCCAAAATGTGAACAGGGGAAAAAAAACTAGAATCTAACCTAACATAGGGCAGGAGTTAGCCAACTATGACCAGTGGGCCAAACCCAGCCTACCATCTGTTGTTGTAAATAAGGTTTCATTGGAACAGTTTCACCTATTTGCTTATGTGTTGTCCTATGGCTGCTTTAGCACTATGATCACAGAATTGAGTCACTGTGACAAAAAGCTATGGCCCACAAAGTCAAAAATATTTACTATCTGTCTCATTACAGAAAATGTTTGCAGGCTCTGATAGTAGACTGAAATACTGAACAGTCTACATCCACACTTTTTATTAGTTCTCTCTTTTTTCCTGTTTCTGTTCCTTTATTATTATTCATCTATCACTGTGTACCCAAGTCTTAGGTATAACTTAAAGGGAGAGAAGAGATTTGACTCTAAGATCCAGAAAAGAAAACTCTACTTGCACCATCCCTATTTAAACAGATGCAGCTACCACAGTGGAGGATGGAGGGATGAGGGAGGGTTAGAGCAGAAAATCTAATAAGTAAAATATGGGTCTGTAATTAAACAATTTTTAATTGCATTTTTCAGGAGAATAAGTCATATCTATTCCACATTTGGCTGCCACTTTGCCAAGAGGTAACAATCAGGGTTCCTGGTGACAAACAACAGAAACAAATTCTGGGAAACTGAATTAGAAATGAATGAATTAAATGATATTGGGTAGCTCACTGCATATCGAGGAAGGTTGAAGAACCAGGTATAGAGGCTACATAACAAGGAACAATATTTAAAATCTATGAAACTGGTCCCACAAAAGCCCCATTGCCTCTACTGCTAGACAAGAAAACTCTCTTGTGCCACCCTCACTCCTTCTGGACCTTGGACCTGGCCATAGGAAATACCACTGCTCCTCTGGAAACCTGAGAGTGCTAGCCAGGACAGTAAACCGTCTTCACAATTAATTACGCACAGTCCCTGATTCTTTGTGTCACTAATTACTGAGCCAAAGCCTGACACAGGGACACTGGTTAGTGAGTTGTGGATCATATGCTTATCTTTTTAGCTTCAAGGCAGCCAGAGAATCTGGCTTCCATAGTTAGAAGTAATCTGTCCCCAACCCAGAGAATCCTGAACTTTCAAATTTTCTTGACTTTCTTTAATGTTCTTCTGTCCAAATTTTATCAGGAGCTGAAGAGGTGATTCTTTTATAAAACATTCATCTGTAACAGTATTTACTAAGGGTAGGCTGTCTGAAAGCAAAAACTCCATGCCTTGTTTATGGGCACATCTCTGGTCTCGGTCTAAGCATAGGCTTACCTCAGTTATCAAAAGAACACTCATTGACTGTGTTAAATTTGCCATTTCCCAATTCTTTTAAAAAAGCTTCACCATGAAATAGAGAATAGGAATGAGAGAAAAGGAAAGGACTCTTAAAATGATGATTTATATTTTATACTGTAGGAGGAAATATGAACATGTCTTCCCACTGATACGAAAGAGTCTGAACAGAGGGAAAGTTTGAAGACACATGGATAGGGACAACAGATGGAGAGGCAATGCTTTCTTGGTATTATTGTGGTATTATAGACCAGAAAAAGGAATGTCCAAATCATGACTCGATATTCACCACTCCTCCCTACTGAATTCCCAGTTCCTCAAATAAGAATAGACAAAAGGAAACACACTATTACTTTTTAAATTGTTAGGCAACACAGATGATGCAAGGTGCTCTCATTAAATTTGCTTAAAAACTTGGCTAGGACCTAGAGACCAAATGTTTAAAAAATTGGCTAAGACCTAGAGACTGAAGTAAGACCTCTACACTCTACTGTACTCACAGAGAAAAGGATGGCCTATACTCTTGCCTGCTTATGGAATCTAGAATAATATTAAAATCTCATGGAATAAGAAATGAAGAGCAGTGGCTCACAATCTTAGCACTATTGAAATTTTGGTCCAGATAATTCTTTGTTGGGGGGGATGTTAAGTTGTATGTTATAGGATGTTTACTAGTGTTCAGTGACCACTAGAGGTGACAGTAGAGGTCAGATCATGTTAGCATACACACACACTACGTGACAAAAGCACACACATCCTCACAGTTGTGACAACCAAAAATATCCCCAGATATTGACCATTGTTCCTCGGGGGCAAAACCCCCTCTGGTTGAGAACCACTGGAGAATGGCTGGCCTGTCTCTGGGAAGCGGACTCTGCTTTGTTCTGAAAGAGGAACAAGAGGGTCAGCCCTACATGGGTGTAGACTTTTAAAATGCAGTAACCCCACCCACAGGTTAAAAAACAAAACACCTAGTAAGTGTCCAAGACTCTTACCATGCTGCTTAGCAACTCTATCCTTCTCAGGGTACCAGTACAGGTGGCAGAGACAATAGAATTATCCCCTTCACCTTCACTTTCATTTTTGATTTCTTCATACCCTTGGGATTGCAGAGATTCTATGTTGGTGAGCTATCCTCCACCCATGTAGGACGTGACAGCTAATTTTGTGTGTCAACTTGACTGGGCTAAGGGATATCGATAGTTAGTAAAACATTATTTCTGGGTGTTATCTATGAAGGCATTTCTGAAAGAGATAGCATTTGAACAGACTGAGTAAAAAAGACTGCCCCCACCAATATGGGTGGGCATTTTCCAATCCATGAGGGCCTGCATAGAACAAAAAGGTGGAGTAAGTGTGAATTTGCTCTCTTCTCTGAGCTGGGGCATCCATCTTCTTCTGCTCACAGACACGGCTGCTCCTGGTTCTCAGGCCTTCAGACTTGGAGATTTACACCATTGGCTCACCAGGTTCTCAGGACATTGGGCTAGAATTATACCACTAGCTTTCCTGGGCCTCCAGCTTGCAGAGGCAGATTGCAGGACTTCTTGGTCTCCATAACCATGTGAGCCAATCTCTTAGGATAAGTCTCTTTCTACATCTATATCCTATTGATTCTATTTCTTTGGAGAACCCTGACAATCTCCAGGAATGGGAAGCGCTCCTAGGACACTAAAACACTAGAAAAGAAATCCCCAGGCAAATCAGGATAAGTCGGTTACATTTATCAGAACTCAGGAGTATTTTAAAGTAGTGGAGCCTCCCTCTGACATGGAGAAGTTCCCCCAACACCAATCGCTTCCGTAGAAGCCTCCCAGAATCTAAAATAGTTCACCTATTGTCCACAAAGCCTCCGGAATGAGTCACAACAGTGTATTAAGTTAATTTAAAAGGTCACAGGTTACTAGAAGAAAGAAATTCACCTGTTCACTTTTCCATCCCCTTTGTACCATCATGGTGCTCAGACCGGCTCACCAGAGTTTATAACACAGGCTAAATGAAACAATAAAGAACGCCCCAAACTTGAAATATATTTTCTCCCATTTAATTCACTAGAGAGATACAGAAGTTCTAAAACAACTCCTCGACACTTTGTTGAAATTAAAATCTGAAAGAAGTTATAGTCTGTTATTCTTACCATCCTCATTTCTGAATTTATTCACTCTCAGCTAGAGTTGGTTCACTTGTCTGGAGTCTCAATTCCTTTCTTTTGCAGCTGTTGCCTAGAACATCTTCCAGTGGGATGGGTGGAGCTCCCTCCAAGCCCTCTGAAATTGGATTAATCCAAACCCATTTTTCTCACTGCTATGGATTTCTTCGTTCCTAAGGGTCAGCAAACATATAAGAGCATTGGTGGATCAGCATAAACCCACAAAATACAAGTAACTACCAAGTCGTGACAGTATTTATTTCCAAGCAAAATTATTTCTCTAGATTCCAATATAATGCATAAAATCCAGACCACACTGCTGTTGGCAGTCCAAGAACATAGCAGAAATTTAATGTTTTCTTGGGAAAGGTGGGTAGACAAAGAAAACAGAAGAGAGAAAATAGAAGACATGTTTCATATCCTTCCTGTTCTGACTATAATACCAACACCTGTTTTATGAGATGATCACATTCCTTTTTGAGTCTTGAAGCAAACCTGAGTCCTGGAGGTACAGTATTTGGACATAACTTTTAAATTTCCTTTTCGGCTCTTAGAGTTTTAACAATGTCACTGAATTTTCTTTCCACATCAGCCTGACTAATAAGAGTTTCCATTTCTCTTTATGCATTTGTTTAAAACAAAATCACCCTCCGTGCCAACCCCCACAGAGCCCACAAGCTTGGCTCATATCTATGATGTGAGTTCATGAAATCAACAAGTCGTACCCTGTATGAGGCCACGTGTTGAGGGAGACCATGACGGCGGGCACCCAGGGCAGTGAATTCCAGGACCTAAGGGCAAGCCACATGAATCCAAAGCTGGATTCCACAGTGATTTTCTTTTTCCTGATACCCTTTTCAAAATAACATAGAAACTAGATTCAAACTACCATTCTAGTGACAGCTGCCCATGTGAAGCTCTAAGAATTTAAATTCCAAATGTTTCACACACTACTGTGTCTAATACTCAGCTATCAAATGGCTTTTATAAGTTAAAATACTGGCCTGCAGTTGACTGAATAATACAAAAAGACAAAAACAGGCTCTGGTGACAAAAAAAAAAAATTACCCCACCTATAAGTACCTGAAACACTTATATATTGAAGCTCTGTCTATCTTGGGATGAGCATTTTCTAACCCAGAAAGTACCTCTTTTCCTAACAATTTAATATGAACTCAGGTGACAGTGTCAGCTGTCACAGGTACACCAAGAGCCTCAGTCTCCCTAAATGGTATTTTGGCCCAAATACCAATTCTTAAAAAATGTAAATATCCACATGAGTCCATACTGGATGTCAATATGCACCGTTGGGGGGAAGAGAGGTTTTATATGTTTTTTTTTTTTTGAAAATAGAAAGTAAGTATATTAAAATTCACAGTCTTTTTTTTAATTAAGGTATCATTGATATACACTTTCATGAAAGTTTCACAAGAAAAACAATGTGGTTATTACGTTCACCCTTATTATCAAGTCCCCCACCATAACCTATTGCAGTCACTGTCCATCAGTGTAGTAAGATGCCACAGAGTCCTTATTTATCTTCTCTGAACTGCACTGTCTTCCCCGTGACCCCACACACACCATGTGCACCAATCATGACACCCCACAATCCTCTTCTCCCTCCCTCCCCCGTCCCTCCCCTTTGGTAACCGCTAGTCCCTTCTTGGAGTCTCTGAGTCTGCTGCTATTTTGTTCCTTCAGTTTTACTTCGTTGTTATACTCCACAAATGAGGGAAATCATTTGGTATTTGTCTTTCTCTGCCTGACTTATTTCACTGAGCATAATATTGCATGCTATTTTGATACCATTATTGCCCAGTATCCCTCCCTCATTTCAAATGAGAATTTCTTTTGCTGCTCATCACTCCTCCTTGTGAGATTTCAGACAAAAATATGTGCAAGAAGCAATGATAAATAAAAAAGGCAAACAAAACAGCCCTTTATTAATAGCAAGAATCATACACAACCATAAACTTACGCCTGTGTATTGCAAGCCTGAAGGGGTGCTACCATGATTAAAAAACCCTTAGGGATTTTGGAAGGTCTAAAGCAGGGAGTGGACTGACGGCAAAAACCCAACAGAGCTGAACAACTCTCAACCTCATATAAAAAAAAGGGAATATTACAGGAAGAACCCTGAAATATGTCCAAGCTTAGACATAGAGTTAATAGAAAGATTTGTTCATGGAAAAATTAATTAAACTCAACAAACAGAACTAATCCTCAGAGAAACAGAGTTCATACAGGGAACAGAAAAAGAATACAGTTGGTAATTTGAGAGAGATTTGACAGAATATTTTATCAAGGAAAAAGGCTGCTGTAAAAAATAAACACTTAAGAATTTTGGAAACTAAGAAAGTAATTCCTGACACACAAAACTAAATTTAAAGGAGAGCTGAATAGTAGAATGGGCCCCACTGAAGACAGAATTAGTGCGTTGGAGTATCAATCATCTTATTCTTGCAGAAAAGAGAAAAAGGAATGTGTTAGAGAAAAAATAAGAGACACAGACGATAGATACAATGGATTTCTGGGACTCTAATGTCTCATCCTTAAGGAAATAACGGAATGAAGAAAGAATTGTAGAACAGAAAAACTTCCCTGTGTTGGAAAAAACCTTGAACATTCAGTTAGAAGAGTCTGTCTACCAAATGATGAGCAAGAAAAATAATTTTTAAAATACCTACAAAAGTCCTAGTAAAATTTTAAGTATAAAATGAGAGAATAAAAAGGTAAAACAGAGAAAGATATTCTCATTTGAAATGCAGAACACCAGAGAAAGAATAACATCTAAATTTCTGCAGGAATTTTGCCTTTGAGTTCTTTTTTTAGTCTAAGCCAGTATTTAAAGGTAATAGAAGAAGAAATGATTTCCATGACACTAATCATAAAGTTTTTAATAAAAAATGGAGCAAGAATACATTCTAGAAAGAATAAAGTATAGCCCAAGGAGAAGGAATATATGGAATAAAAGAAGCAATAGTGAGTAAAAATGTTATTGTATTTTTTGAAATATTGATACTAAGCCTGAGTAGTATAAATGCAAATGTTGTTTTGATGTCAATAAAAAATAGAAGCATAATATAAATAAAATTTGATAATTTGAAAAAATTTAGTAAAATGTGATACAAAATAAATTTGTAGATTATTTCAAAAAATCATGGGAGTTCTCAGAAGCAGGGCTGGAAGATTTGAAGTGCTTTCATACTGGGAGGATTAGAGAGAGGTTACGGGTCCTGAAGTGTCTCCATGCTGGTGGAAAAATGTAAGGTAAGTTTTTTTAGAGGTGGACTGTTTAGCGCCTAAGAAAGACTGTGAAATAGGAAACACACCTAGCCCAAAAAATTTCAGATAAGAGATTGTGGACCTAGTAGTAAATTAGTAGAAGGTGTGATAGAGAGCCTTTTCTTTCATGGTGTATGTGTGCTGTGTTCTGGATAATATTAAAATTTGCTAATGAAACAGAGTTCTTAAAGTGAGTAATAAAAAGCTACTCTAGAGAAAACAAAGCTGTACTGCTTAAAAGACCACTAGATCAGTATTTCTCAAGATGCAGTCTGGGGACTGAAAGGAAAGGAGCGACACACAACAGCAATTTACCGGAGAGTTCCGCTTTATTAGGGAAAGGTGCTGGGTTATATAGGATGGGGCATAGGGTGATTGTGGTGTTACTTCTACGGGGCTGGTGGCTGTTGGCTAGGTGCTGGGATTGGGAGGGGGGCGAGAGGTGATTGGGCTTCAGGTGGCGCCGGCGGGAACCGAGGACCCCGAAAAGAAGCTGGAAGTTCGCCATCTTACTGGTGGGGACCCTTCAGGGACCACTTGTATCAGATTCTCTGAAATGTCTGTCACAGATTCTGGGGCCACGGTCCAAAATTTCTAAGTAAGTTTCTGTGGCTGAGGCCTGGAATCAGATGTTCGTCTTCCTTGGACTTTCCAAAGTTCTCTATGTCTATCTCTTGTATATCATTTACCTCTGGCTTTGTGCCTTGTGCATGTACTTCTCTCCTCACTATGAGATTCAAAGGTCAGGAAGGCAGAGACAGTCCCTGGAAACCCTGCAGCGCCCAACACACCGCGGTTCACAGAGATACGCACTGCCGCGTGCCATTGTGTTACTTCTCCATAACGTTATCTGCCAAAGTGCAAGAAGAGTTGACTTGTTCAAACAGAACCCTGTGCCAATAATTATTTTACTAAATGTTTGAGAATGAAACTGTCTTGTGCTCTTTTGTTTCAAAGAAAAAGAGACATATTATGGAAAACACTCCCTCAGCATGATCCTTCTCAATTAAAATTGGAATTGTTTAAATTAAAGCATATATAGCCCTAATATATCATATAATATCTGAAAATAAATACCATATAATATCTAAAAAGGAGGGTGCAAAATATACACAGGAGACCTGTATCCCCCCCACAAAAAAGCAGGAAGGCATTCTCCACCTTGGCCACACTCTCACACTATCACCCTTAATTCTCATCACTGATAATGGCACTAGCAGAGGGGATGTCGTTGCAGCTCCTTCTCAGGTTCTAGACCCAAGGAAAAAATGAAGGGAATAGTGAGGTAAAGAACCATTTAACTACATAGCATTACATACTAATTTGCCCCTGCACCCTTTCTTTTTTCTCTATGCATTTCATCAAAGGTGCTGTATATGGAAAGGGCTGACTTCATATCATACCAGCGCAAAGGGGAAGGAATTACGTAGGACTCACAAACATATAATGAAAATACAAATTTTTTCATTATACAGGGAGAAGTTTAAATGCACATAAACAAACACATTTCATTATGTGTTTTGAACATGAACCCTCTCAAGTACCAACAACATAAGCTTCCTTTACTGTTATGTCTGGTAAAACAAGACTTTGAGGTGCAAGTCTGGCTTGTGTCCTCAGAAAAGAGTTCAGAAGCAGCGCTGTGGCACATCCCCAGTAAAAAGTAGCCTTGAGGATGTATTATTAGATCACCCGTAATAGCTAATTTCCTTCTCTGTTCTTGACATCTATTCCTAAAATATCAGTGAAGGTGGGGTGGTATAGGATCCATTTCTGGGCTTATCCTATTATTGATTATGGAGCTTTGAATATGAGATGTTCTTAAAAGTCACATCTCATCTGTGATCTGGAGACAGAGAGAATAAGCTAATAAATATGGTACCT